CCGTAGGGGCGTACCCCACCACGAAAGTTACTCCGCAGGTGCGGCCAATTTGCAGGCGCACCTTCATCAGCCTCGGGCTAATGCACTCCACCGTCCTACCTCCCTCGCCTACGTTGTCCCACATAGTCTCCTAAATCGCTATGCCCACACCGTGCACGCCCCTCTTGTCCTTGGTGCCGGCACGGGCACCACTCCAGATGATCACGTACCCGTCGTGTGTAATCGCGCCTTGTCCCGCTCGTCGGGTCTCTTGGAGTCCTATCACATCACAGTCGGTCGCGGCACAGATCTGCATGACCGTCATCACGTTGTGGCCGATGGGGTTCCTGCCGCTGTAGGCGAGCGTGCGTACGTTGAACGTGCCGAACGATAAATCGCCCTCCCGTGCCTTCTTCTTCGCGGTCGCCTTCACGCCCGCTGCTATCTCCTGTCGCTCTCGGTCCGCCTCGCGCTGGGGGGGTGTTTTCTTCCGTTTAATCCGAGCGGCGAGTTTCTTCGCATCGAACCATCTTTGCAGGGCTCGGTGCTTGCCTGTGGTGTTAGGATGAGGAGGATGCAGCACTCCCCCCCCGCGTCGCCCGCGGTTATCTCCCTTCTCCCGCGAACGGTGCTTACTCGCGTGGTTTTTACGAATCTCTCTGCTCCTCCAGCTTCGTGGGCCACGTTTTCCGCGACGGTGGTTACCAGGTGCAGTTTGCCGCTTTGCATTGCTGCCGCGGGGACAAGGTCCACATACACCTCTCGCCACTACCACCGTCTGTGCATCCTCACCGCCACCCTGAGCCACCGCGGCGGTGAGTTCCACCTTGAGACACCACCCACCTACTATCTGTTGTGGCCTGGTTCGCCCGCGAGGGACTCACAAGGTCGATTTCGGCCCCGGCCGGGGAGCAGGCCGGGGAGGGGAGGACAAGACATAGTGTGATCCACCAGTTGAGAGTGTTTTAAACTACAAGAAAACTCGCACGACACCATATCGTCCGCAAGGGAATTCCGTGTCAAAACGACTACATTCAACGATGCACGCAATGCTTGCCATGAATAGTTCAATGAAGCGCGATAATTGGGCGTCTCGACCACCGTTCATACAACTGGAGCATAACACTTCTTGTAGTGCAACCATGCACGAAACTCCATTTTTTCTCGTGTTTGGTAGACAACCACGACTGCGTGTCGATATCATTCTCGGTATTCCTCATGTAGCAACAACAGCCAATACCGAAGAACTTGCTAAAGACACTCGGGAGAATTGACAAACTGCTTTCGAATTAGCTCGCCGAAAATTAACGGAGCGTACGAACAACCAAGCGGCTATTAATTCCAAATTAAGACCGATTCCCGTGTTTAAACCTGGCGATCAACTACTGGTAACAGACCACATCAGGGTTCCGATGGCCCAAACCCGAAATTGCTGTTACCTTGGCGGGGACCATACGTCGTCTGCTCGCAACTGTCACCTGTAGCTTACCGAGTGAGACGCCCAAAACATACTCGACAAGTTTCTGTTCACCTTGCCCGTATTTAACGATATTTTGCAAGGAAAACACCTCCTGCGCCCGACTTTGATAAACCCGCTGTGTTCATTTTAGGGCGATGGATTCCTTTACCCGCTGTCGATCACCCTGATGAGGCCTAACCAAGAATTGAGTCTTCTGTTGTTGACGAAGTGGTAAGACACAAGTGATCGGGGTCCGAGGTACCCTTTTACTTACTGTACCGATGCTGCTTGCATCTTCGAGGGTATATTACTGTTGTTGTTGTTGTTGTCTTCACATTAAAAACCGTTCCGATCTCTCTCTACCCAGTACCTTCGCATGTCCGTACTGATACAACACTTTCCGCGGTCGATTCCCGTGGTCGCAGGCTAACTTACCCTAAAAATTGTACACTCAAATAATATGGCCCCGAGGGGTCCGCAAGTCGAAAGAGATCAACGACAGATATTCTGGAGTTCTCCACTCCCTCACGGGCCGGAGAGAATGAGGTGCGCCCCCTTGGTTCAATCTTGGTACTACACAACGCAAGCAGAAACGAGGCCATCTGGCACAAAGAAAGAGAAAAAGAGAAGAAAGTAAAAGGAAGCAGTAAGGAAAGAGAAAATTAAATAAAAAGAGCGAGGATAAAAAGGGACCAGGCCGAAAATAACAATAAATAAGCGACAGAAAAAGGCACCGGGTGGAGAGAACCCTAACGACAAGCCAACACGCAAACATGGCCACCAACCAGCGATACATTGTAATGGTACGTCATCACAAGTGGGGGGTTGGTGCAACGGTGCAACGTTGGGGGGGGTTTGTACTCATAGTCGTGCATGCCGCAGTCGTTAGACCATTGACCTCGCATCCCTACAAAGCCGGGACGGAGCACGCCGGGTTCTCACCGGACCAGGCTCTCACATCACCAAGCGCGAAGCGCCGTGAGATATTCGGCGAGTCGCATGAAGGGTGCGCTGCATCCTGCTAAGGGTGTTAAGCATCTTGTGCTTACTTGCTTGCGTACGGATGACAGCTGCGTATGAAACAATTTATTTTTCTGGTGCTTTCACTTCCAGAGACAGTTGTAAACACTATGTAACTGCCTCGAGGGTGCTTGACCATTTTAACACAACGTGGTGCGATCATCCCCCTTGCGCAGAGTAAGGGTTCACCCCGCAAGATCTACTCGACCACCATAATGGTTACCGCCAAAAAAAAAACCGGAGGCAAAAAAAAAAAACGGTAACCTGGTTGCCGAGTTCACGAAGTGAATTGGCTTGTTTTACAACGTCGTTGCCAAGCGACGAAAACCCAATCCCGATAGGCAAACACCGGAGGGGGGGGGGTGTACTCATAGTCGTGCATGCCGTAGTCGTTAGACCATTGACCTCGCATCCCTACAAAGCCGGGACGGAGCACGCCGGGTTCTCACCGGACCAGGCTCTCACATCACCAAGCGCGAAGCGCCGTGAGATATTCGGCGAGTCGCATGAAGGGTGCGCTGCATCCTGCTAAGGGTGTTCGGCATCTTGTGCTTACTTCCTTGCGTACGGATGACAGCTGCGTATGACTTAATTTATTTTCTGGTGCTTTCACTTCCAGAGACAGTTGTAAGCACTGTGTAACTGCCTCGAGGGTGCTTGACCATTTTAACACAACGTGGTGCGATCATCCCCCTTGCGCGGAGTGAGGGTTCTCCACCCCGCACAACATGATCTACTCGACCACCATTATGGTTACCGCCAAAAAAAAAAACGGAGGAAAAAAAAAAAAAAGACGGTAGCCTGGTTGCCGAGTTCACGAAGTGAATTGGCTTGTTTTACAACGTCGTTGCCAAGCGACGAAAACCCAACCCCGATGGCAAACACCGGGGGGGGCGGCTTGTTTTACAACGTCGTTGCCAAGCGACGAAAACCCAACCCCGATGGCAAACACCGGGTGCAACGG